AGGGGACGAGTGGGGATGTTTGATGCGAGGGAAGAAGTTGCGTTTGAGCATGATGTGGCTGTGTTGGGTTGTGCCGAACAAATGGATGTTGACGTTTTCCACCACCGCGCTGGCCACTTTCCCGAACCCATTTTGAGTATGACTGCCGAGCAACAAGGGAACACCCTTCCCAGGGAGTTGGAACCCGGGAACACTGCCGCTTCGCCGCCCTCTGCCAACGCTGCCACTTGGCCTGCCGTCGCCGCCGCCACGGCGGGGACCATCACCGCTTCGCCGCCCGCTGCTGCCGCTGTACCGTGGGGACCCGCCACTGCCGACGCTACGTCATCGTCGCCGTCGCACACCGCTGGTGGCGCACCATGGAATGCAGCCGCCGCCACCGACGCACCGTCGCCGCTGCCGCCGACCTCCGGGACCGCGTTAACCGCCACTGTCACCGCGGCCGCGCCGTCGCCGCTGCCGCCGACCTCCGGGGCCGCCGTGCCGCTTGTGCCTTCGCCAGGTGCCACCGCGCTGCCGCGCCCGAGGACGACCGCGACGAGGACCACCGACGTGGCCGCCGCCGCTTCGTCATCGCCGCAGCATACCACCGCAGGTGGGACACGGATCCATCCAGCCGCCATCGCCTTGCCCGCGTCATCGCCGACATCGCCTTACTCGGGGCATGCATCGCCACAGGCGGACTGGTTGTCTTCTCCTATTGAGCCCGCTGCTCCATCTTCGACGGCGCGTGACGAACGGCAAGCCGATGGTTAGGCATGGGTTGGTGGGGGCCTGTGAGCTGGGGGGCGGCGAGCAGGGGGGCGATGGAGGACAATACGGTTGGAGGGGAGACGTGCAGGTGATCAAGAACAAAAAGGTGGGGGTCGATACCGGTGGAAATGATGTGTGGAGAATGCGTGGTCGGTCGACCCCTCGTGGCTCGCATTGTATCGCCAGGTCTGCTCTTTGTCATGTGCGTTTCGTGTTTCGTTTTGTTTTTGTTTGCCTTTCTTTCTAGCAGCGAGATTTCTTTTTTCGATTGTTGCTGTTCTTAAATCTAAAATCCTGGGGGGGGTGTCATGTGTGACCATGATTNCTGCTCTTTGTCATGTGCGTTTCGTGTTTCGTTTTGTTTTTGTTTGCCTTTCTTTCTAGCAGCGAGATTTCTTCTTTCAATTGTTGCTGTTCTTAAATCTAAAATCATGGGGGGGGTGTCATGTGTGACCATGATTCGAGATGGCATGAACAGCAATCGAGTTGTTTCTGTTTTCATATGAATACCTGCTTAGCAAACGGACTGTTGACGTATTGATAATAACGGAGTGTTCTTTCATGGACTCTGGAAATATCAGAGGTGTGTTTTGGAATGTGACAGAATGGAGGCTGGTTGTTTGTATGATTTGCTATCCATTTCTTGAACGCAACGGCGACACCGGTTCGCGTGTACGCGCTGCGTAGTAATTGGTCCTTGGAAACTGTAGTGGAGGAAGGATTTGGCATGTTTTGATTGATGAGTAATTGTTGATTTGTCTTCGTGTGGCAGTTTTCTTGGTAGAAGGCTTTACGTTATCCCCTTTGTATTTGGCGCGCCTTGCCATATATCATCGGTCAGGGGTACCCCCTCTATTTCTAAAAAATGCTATGTCTTCGATGCTGTTGTCAATCGTCATTGGGGAATTGGCGTGTCATGGCAATTGATTGCCGCAACATTACGAAGAATGGAATGTTTCGTCTGTTTTCGATGTACGATTTGCGAAGTCCGGGATTTGATTTCGTTCACAACGCAGGTTGCGATTTTTGGTGTTGCTCTCAGTACCCAAGTATCACAGGATGCGTTTATCAAGTAGAGGGTTGATCCTGTGACGTCTGGTGTACGGAAAAGGGGGGCGGTAACCAGACATGTATGGGTAGGGTATGCAAGAAGAAAATAAAATTTATGGTTGGAAACTGAACGGAGGTTTGTGTTCGAGGAATAATAGTCAAAATGGGTAGGGTATGCAAGAAGAAAATAAAAGTTATGGTTGGAAACTGAACGGAGGTTTGTGTTCGAGGAATAATAGTCAAAATGGGTAGGGTATGCAAGAAGAAAATAAAAGTTATGGTTGGAAACTGAACGGAGGTTTGTGTTCGAGGAATAATAGTCAAAGAGGCAGGGGGGGCACTCCATGACTCCAATGTGCCTCGCGCTCTCAACCACGCAGGCAGGGTGTGTAGCGATGTCACATGCTTCAAGGAATTTCGTTTCTGAGGTAGATATGGTGTACTGCTGTGTTGCCGAGGTCTTCTGGTTTGTGTTTTCATCGTGTTGGACGTTGAACTCAAGATTGGCCGATAGAAAATGCTCTGAAGGATTTTTGCATCAATGGTTTTCATGTTGTAAGGATGAGGTATGGAGTCGAGCATTTTTGTGCATTCATGATTGATTATTGTTTTCAGCTGCTTGTGAATGTGAGGAATCCTCGGAAAGTGATTTGTCCCGGACGGTGTTGTATGTGTATGCGTATGTGTTTGTATTCATTTGTTTCTGATATGACCCATTGCGGTTGTTTCGATGATTTGAGTTTTGAATGATTTGATATTGGAAGTTTGGAAAATTCACCAGCGACCGATGGAAATTCTTGGTGGTGTTCCTGGTTCAATGGTTTTCAACCGATGGGAATTCCAATCAGTGTTTCTGATTTAATGGTTGTAGTGAATGTTTTGATCCTTGGAGGTTCTGGACACAATGGACACCGATGGAAATTCGGGTAGGAACTACTAGTGTTTCTGGTTTAATGGTTTATTTTTGTTGCAAGAGAATAGGAGGAGATCCGACTACTGTTGGACATTGACATTGATTTCTGGAGCTTTTGGGATGGGTTTTGTGTGATACATAAGTCCGGGAATAATCTTGACAATGCAGCGAGCAGGGGGGCTGTTGGATGTACTCACAGCATTGACAGATTATTGCAACCGAGGAACGTTCCGAGAAGATGGAGCGGGGAATTTTCGGGGTTCCGCAGTTGTGGCGTATTGGGGGAATGGTGGTACCATCTTTGCCACATATTGTTGTTTCCTGGGTATACGTGCCTGCAACGGTGTTGACCACGTGCCCTTGGAAAAAAATTTCATCTTCTTTTTTCCCGGCTATCACGCTCTGGGCTATCACGCCCGTGTCCACACATATCCATCGGCTATCACGCTGCCAGGCTGTCACGCCTCTAGGCTATCACGCCATCACAACAGCTATCACAGCACCAGCTTCAACACATCAGAGCCATCACGCTCCGGAACATCACAGATGCGGCGGGTTACCACATCCGCGGGCAGTTTACTGTATTTTATCGTTGCCGGCAAACTCGCCGCGCGGTTCTTTTATTTTTGGCCGTCTACAACTGCGCCGGGCGCACCAAGTTACTCAACAGAGACGGTAGGGAATGGACCTGGAGGGCTGGCCGCTTGTTCGGCGCCCACCTCACACCTAATTCGCGTTTGCGTTGGCGCCCTCTCTCGGCCGGTTACGAACGAGTTTTTCTACAATACTGGCGCCGTCTACGTTGGGCGGCCACTGCTGTCCCTTCTTCTCTCCACACGCTCTGTAGCTTCCGTTCGTCACTCACCTTGCTACTCCGCTGCGTGCTTTCTCGCTAACGGAATGGCAGGAGGGGGGTCTACTTTCATCCCCTAGTGACCCCAAATTTCCGAAAAAATCAATGGAACTACAATCCGAAACTAACTGTCACCTCAATAAGTCGCAGTTTGTACTGTCTGCTCGACGAATATACTTTAATATTCTCTCTCGCTGTCGGGCCGGCTGTCGGGCCAGTCGTGGCCTGTCGCGTCCAACAGCCCGGCAGAACACGGCAGCTTCAACGAAAAACGTACGCGGTGAATAGCTGTTTCTCGTTTGATATTGTACCGTGTGTCAGCATATGCAAGCCGCTCAGCGTTGGCGCGACCGATGTCAGGAGCGGCCGCGGAGTGTGTGTATGCGTGTGGGTGGGGCTCGAGGGGTGAAAAGTGAACATACAGCAGTAGCATTTCCAGCATGCGTGCAGCAAGGCAATAACCGAAGGATCATGGTGCTGATGAGTCCCAATGAAATTGAGTTAACCACGAGAGAGCGTTTCGAACACTCCGCTTCAAGATGGTACTACTACTACTACAACAACACTGCTGTGCTGTTGTAAACGGCTGCAACCAAAACAGCTGACATTCTGAAGTTGAAGAACAGTAGGCCATGAATGCTTGCCGAAAGGTGACTGGCCACGCAAAAACGGAAGTGAGAGCAGGTCACACATTCCTACTGTAACGGGAACAACACAACGGACGGTCTTGGTTTGTCTTCTCGAGGCAGATAATACGGTGGACAAAAGGCGTCTTGGTCGACAGGCTGCATTTTCAAGTCATGCTTCCGGCCAGGAATCTGACTGCCTTTTGAAAGTCACATCCTCTAATATGTTTTTGGTTCCTTTCGGTCATACGGCAGAGATGTCGTGGACTCTGTCTCATCTCGCCTCCTCCCCAATTCACAAGTGAGTTCTTCCGATGGATCCAACCTAAGGGGGGAGGTATGAAATTGGTGTTTATTGGAGTTGATGAGAATTGAGCATTTATTGTTATGTGCCAAAGAGGATGTCTGCGTGCGTATAGGAGAGGAGGCATGCGCACCGAGAGAAGGCAGCTGCTCGCAGGACATTCTGTTTGCGCCCGATCACGTTGAAGCATCATCAGTGCTGGAGCACAGGGACTGCTAAACGTACGAGTGGACAACACTGCCAGCTACTACCTGTGAAGACGTTCTGTTCCGGGGAGCTAGTGTTGTCGTCTTTGCCGGCGGGGCAAAGACCAAGAATCTGGGCGACGGAGTCGATACGTCGCTCTCGGAGAAGCGTCGACTACTTTGGTACGTGCGATGTGACGTTGCGTGTGGTCCCACAGCAGAACAGAGAGTGCTAGCTGTTAACAGACAGCGGTCAGCGCACAGCAGTGATACGTATCANTCCGGGGAGCTAGTGTTGTCGTCTTTGCCGGCGGGGCAAAGACCAAGAATCTGGGCGACGGAGTCGATACGCCGCTCTCGGAGAAGCGTCGACTACTGTGGTACGTGCGATGTGACGTTGCGTGTGGTTCCACAGCAGAACAGAGAGCGCTAGCTGTTAACAAACAGCGGTCAGCGCACAGCAGTGATACGTATCGTTATCCAGAAGGCACAGGGTGGTATAGGCCAGACGGGCACAAATGCCATGTGAAGTTGGCAGCGGGTGTGCATGTGAGATGTCGCCGCTCTTGGGGGGCTTGCTCGAGCAGGGCGATGCCTAGCTGATGATGCGATTGCGGTGCGTGCGCTGGTGTGCATGGAGCGGCGCAGTTTCAATCACAAGGATTACAAACCAAGGGTGCAATACGCGGCAGAGGATATCATACGAGTATGCCAGACACAACCGAACCCCTTTGCGTGCGAAGAAGGTGTCACAAAGACCGCTAGGAACGGATTGGTTTGCGTTTGTTTTATTTACAAACTTCAACGCGTGTGTAGGCATACGCGGCCAAGCGGAGGAAATTCAGACTATACGTCGCAGGAGCGGATATAATGTCTAAATTCCGGTACAGCAGTCTCGGAGACTGCTGTGGTGTGATTGTGCGAACACAATTCACAATTACCAGATAAGGCACAAGCTTAAGTGCAGGTCCTCAATCACACGACGGGGCACGAATATTTGAGTGCAGATCCGTCGGATCGAGGGAGAGGTGGCCAAGAGACGAAATACAACTAGTCCGTCTGCCCGAGGAAAGGTGGTGGATATCCACACCAACACCCAACACCCACGCTGATTTCGCAGCAGCTTGTTATTCGTGTACACTTGATGGACGGTTTTTTTTTCCCACGAGGTTGTCCAGGAGTCAATGTGGACCGGATAAAAAGGGGGTGCGATGATTGATATAAACCATGGTGGCTTGTCATCTGGCGATGAGTTGTGGTTATCAGTGGTGTAGCACGTATGTCGCTGGTGCGATTGCGGGACGGACTGCGGCCGTCAGGACACATAATCTCAGGGCCGGTTTTGTACGCGCGAATATGGTCGTCGTGTATGGAAAAATCGGTGGCATGGCAGGCAGAAACATACATCGAATCGATATAGAGCGAGGTAGTACGCTGGTGCGTATGATGCCGGCTCGCGGTTATTGATCGGAGACCAGGGTACGAGTCATCTGGAGATGAGACGTGGTGGTCAGGAGTCGCTGGTGCGGCTGGGATACACTATGCGGTCGTTAAGATACATATGCACACTGAAGGTTACTCGAATCGGTTTGCACGTACGGCTATGGGTCGTTGGCACGGAATAATCGGTCGAGACAATACAATCGATATAGAGCGTGCTAGTACGCTGGTGCGTACGATGTCGGCTCACGGTTATCGATCGTAGACCAGGGTCCGGGTCATCTGGAGATGAGCCGTGGTGGTCAGGAGTCGCTGTTGCGGCTAGAATACAGTATGCGGTCGTCATGATACATATGCATCCTAAAGGTTGCTCGAATTGGTTGCCTGTACGACTATGGGTCGTTGGCACGGAATGATCGGTCGAGACAAAAGACACAAAGCGATATATACAGCTGGTAAGGGTACCACACTGCATATACCGCTGGTTACGCTAGAGCCTTCTGATGCGGTTCATCTGGTGATGAGACGTGCTGGTCAGGAGTGGCGTGTAGGTCGCTGGTGCGGCTGGGATACGGTTGGAGTACGCATCATTATCTTAAGTTCCCGATGTATATTGTCCCCCTTGTTCATCATGATCAGGAAATTGATCGGTACATCGGCGGCAAGTCGGCCGGGGGGGGAGATATGAGCGGGGACGAGAACTCCTCCGACGAGTCTGTGATCGGCCGCGACGAGTACGAGGCGGAGCGGCAGGATAGCGCTAATGAGCGAGCCGTCATCAGCGCCTCGGTGGAGGACCTGAAGGCCGAAATGGCGGCGAGGTTCGCGGAGGTGCTGGCAGCCGTGCGTGATCGGGGCGGCGGGGCCGCCGCGGGTGGCGCTGCCGGAGCTGCACCAGCGCCCGGGTATGAGGGCGTGCGTGCAGCTGCCGGCGTGGCGCAGGCGCCCATGTATGGGGGCGCGAGCGCGGGTTACGGGCTCCACCGCGTGGAGTCGAGTCCCGGGTTGCTGCAGGGCGCTGGTCGGTATGGCAGTGGGAGCGGCTTAGATCGCAAAAAAATATCTTTAAACATTGACCTCCCGGGTCCGGCCGGGTGTACGACAAATACAATATAAACCCAAAGTTTTAGCTGGTACAAAGTCCTCGCGCCAGCAACAAGCGCATTTCTCATCATGTCATTCAAGTGCGCATTAGTTTTCATTGCAAAATGGCCTTTCTTTCTTCTTTTTTTTGTGGGTATTGTGGTGCAGGTGGGGGTATATGCGGAATTAATTGCTAGGGAGGGGAGGCGTGAGGACAACCATGCACTCTGCCCTGCACTACGTCCAGGCCATTGAAGACCATGGTGAGTTGAGTGAATGTATGAAGAAGCTTCTCTCAGGTTCTTGAGACAGGCCGAGTAGAACGACCCGCCTTATTCTATTTTTTTTACGTGCAATGGTATTTGATCACCGATCCGTATGGAACGCCGATCACCCCCCCCCCCTTTTGCGTTTCTCCAATGTGATGCGGTGGAGACATGTTTTGTTGTATCCGTACATCTACGCGTTGGCAGGTCCTATGCCTGATGCCAGCACTGGCGAAGCTGCGCACCAAAGGAACAAGAAGGTCAACCATTCTAACAGCGGCCGCAACGCCGCGGCGCACTACGCGCGCCGGTTCAACATGGACCTCGCCATCGATGCTCTTGCTGAAGAAATTTCGTGGGAGGTCACCAGATTCGACCGCAGGTTGAAGAAATATGTTGTGGAGACCGTCAAGGCTGGCTCCGGCTGCTCTGCGGTGCTGCGGTCGTTGGGTGATGTTCTGCCGGGGGGGTTGCCTTCCGCCCCGACGGACGCTCGCGCCGCTAGCACCCCAACGGCTGCTCAACGTGCTGCTCACTTCCCCGGCGCCGCATCCTGGACAACCGTGCTGTGGGAGGCCGAGTCGCCTAGGCGCAACGACGCCGGCGGAGGCGGGTGGGAGTCCCGCATTGCCACGGGCCCTCTTCGTCCCGATGAAAGGACGTTGATCGGGGCGTACAACACATACTTCAGCTGCGGTCGTGCGGATGGGGGTGCGTTATGCGAAGAACCGCGCTGTACCGACTGCTGGCTGAACTCGTCCACGCTCGACGACAAGGACATCGTTTGCACACGGTTCAAGCACGGCGCTCCTCTCCGGGCAAGTAGCGGCCTTGGCCGGTGGAAAGGGGGCGACGTCAGAGCGTCGACTCGAACGGCACTCGGTGGGGATTGGTAGCTGGGCGAGGGATGTGGAGAGGACGTCGAATTCTTCAAGGAGCAGCCCTTCGACAACGATGTACATGATGGACCCGCTCAGGCGTCGGGCCTTTCGTCGGCGCGCATCCTCTACTTCTCCGAGCACACAGGGAACACGCGCCAAGGATCCCACGACCGCCCGTTGACATCGTGGGTGCTGGCGTTTGACTACGTCTTCGACGGTGTTGGGAACCAACGTAGTCCCGACCCCGACACATTGCACCCGATCTTGGTCCTGCGAGGTAGCACAGGTAGGCAAATGGCTACCCACCCATATTCCTCTGAGGAAAAAGAATCCTCCAGAGGATATGAAATCCTCTGGAGGATATTTAATCCTCCAGAGGAAATGCGCACAATATACTCCGAGGGAAAAGCCCAAACATTACTCGGAGGGGAGAAAATCGGCCCCCCGGAGGATATACTAGAGTTGGAGGTGGAATAGTTTTTTGTTGTGGTTGCACAACTGTACCTGCAGTAGGCTCGTGCGTCTGTTACAGAAGAACG